TATTCATGTCTTTGTCATTTAAACTTGAACGGCAGGATAGCTCAGGTTTCTGATGTCCGATGGTTAGGAACGGTGACTCATACTGACATCGGGTTCACTATTGTGGCGAAGGTCATATTTCTAGAGGAAACCTGGTCTGCCACAGGTTAGAGTTTGCTATTACACATTGAGTTTTACAAGTGTTACAAGTTTTAATAACATAGCATCTTGCTTTGTTAGGCATGATTCAACCGACACCTCACGTCATAGCACTGTGTGTGCTGCTGTGCTTTCTGATGACGGTCCTCTCTTCGATCTAACACAACGAAGACAAAATTTTTCATCGCTAAGGGATGGAAACGGAGGACGTGTTGCTGAATTTTTCTACGATATTTCAGCAAGTTTTTCAAGCTGACATAGTTTCATGTCCCGTTGAAATCGTTTCCATATATCAGTCCTCACTTTCTCTCAGAGCCATGTTTCTCTGAGGTCTAGCGAAACCATTAGCTTCCGGTAGAAATGTCATTCATCAGAATATTATTGATAAACATGGGCCTGTTTACATTCTTATTGTACATTTAGGGTACAGTCAGTTACAAGTGGGCGAACTAACGCTTCTTTGTCAGTGTTTTCACCGCATCTGCCCAAAAGGAATTTAATATGCACCGACTTTTCAGCCTTCAGGCAGCAAATCGATTGTTGAACAAAATGATATGTTTTTTAATGACGCGGTTCAGCGCTTCGCGAACATCATCTGCAGGCACAATCCTCGATAGTGGCTGTGAGAGGCTCTGTCGTATTTCGATTGCAGCTTTTTGCCGATTTAAAGCACGCATCAGTTACACATGCTAATCAGGTACCATGGTGGACGCTGAGCGAATGACGACGAATCACAAGCGATGTCACGACTTCAATTTATCAGATTACCTGGGAATACAGCTTAGCGTGAAAGCAGATTGACTGGGCTCCGTCGAACACTCCTGTTGATTGCTTAGAATCATTTAAACTCTCGCAAATTTGTGCATTTGAATGCTGAATGCAAAATTTTATGTCTGACGAGGTAAAACTTCATTTGAGTGAAAGCTTTCTGTCAATATACTGGACAAGCCCTTAATTATGGCACTTGTCACCGGAGTTCACTTCGTGCTGTGCAATTAAATGAAGTAGTATTTCATTAAGAGCAAGGCAATATTGATAAAAGGACAGCTTTAGCCCCATATTTAAATTACGGCTATTTATGAAATTGCTTGCTCCTTCCTCAGTACAAGTTCTACGACCTACGAAAATAATAGATCTCTGACAAACTTATTAGTGTCAACAATAAATGAACAAGCAATTTTACGAACATTCAATTAATGCAAAGTGCATCAACCCCAAAGTTAATGAATCTGACAACTTTCTTGCTTTGTTTTCCAAATCGTTTTTGTTATCCTTGTTTAACGCTATGCACTCGGACATGCGCTGTCTGATCTGTTAGAAAGGGTTCTTCGAATTTTTCATGGCAGTGATGTTGCATGACTGAGTCTTTTAGATTTTAATATATTAAATATGCTTCCCCCGCTTCTGCCATCCATACATTTCCTTAAGTTGGTAACGCCCATTGTTGAACCAATCATCAAATGCTGAAGGTGAATTGCGTGTTCACTGAACATGATGGTTTACCATATTCAGTATAGAAAGATTTTAGTGCTGACGTTGTATCAGAACTCACGGTGCTGAATTTACTGATCAAAAAATGGAAATGGGATGGAAAACAATTGTAGAGCGCTACTACTTAAAGCTAGAAACACTATTTTCAACAAGCAGGGAGAAACCCCTAGCATTTGCGTTACTCACCAGTGACAGAATTTCAGAAGTCCCTCCATTAAAGCGTTTTAATAACCGCAATTCTGTTAACAACTGCTTGTCTGCAGCCAGTTGTCAGGTAGCTGATAACTTAGGCAGGTTATAGACAAAAGACATTAGGGGAACGTCTTAGACGTGAAATGATAAAGAGCATTAAACTAAAAAAAAATTTGTTGAGCTTGTTCACTGATTATTATCTGAGTTATTACCATTCTACCGCATGAACATCATAAGTTATTCGTACGACGGTGGAGGTCAAATATTGCATGACTCCTTCAGGACCAAATTTTTACGGCATATTGCAAAATTCTGACAATTGAAATGATCAGAGCAGGTGGCTAGACGCAGTGAAGGGCTCTAACGGTGAGGATGCCATGAAGCTGGAAGGAGTCAAAGGCAATCATGTTGTTCAAGAAGATCGAGAAGAAGGACCTTATCAACTATCGCCTTATCTCTCTGCTGTCAGCAAGCCAGGATTAACGGCAGGTACGAAGCCAGGCAGGATTTCGAAGCAGATACAGCAAAATGGATCATATATTCACTTTGAGTAAACTCCTCGAGCACGTGAGGGAATGCCAACTCCCTCTGTGCGTAGCCTTCGTCGATTGCTAAAAAACATTCGAACGGTAAAACGCGAATTTACTGTAATCTGATCTCCTGCTGAAGATCCAGGTATAATTATACGGCGAAAATATCGAAGAAGTTGATAAATATATTTACCTGAGCCAAAAGATCAGCATGTAGCATGATCAAGTTGGAAAGATTCAACGAATAAAGAGTGCCTTGCGAATTCCAGTCCATCATGGACTTCCTCCTAAGCAATATCCAGAAAGAAACCCGAGCCAACCTCGTCAATTTTACAATCCTGCAGACGATATAGTACGACTGTGAGACGTGATCACTCACTAAAGCCGAAGGACGCCAGCTGTTCGTCATCGAGAAGGCTGTGGACACGTCCTCGACATGGTGATCAGACAGCGGATGGGAATGAGGGACGTCTTTGTCGAAAGCGGAGGGAAGAATTTACGAAGGGCTGTACACATAACTCAGCATACCGACAGGAAATAGTAAGCGATGATCGTTACTAGTATCCTGGCAGGTGGACTAGGTTGTCCACTACGACTGCGGATAGATTATATTAGGAAGCGGGAAGGCCTCGCTTTGAGGTAGGGAACTCGAAACCGCGAAGCAAATGCGGGCATGCTGCTGCCGACGCGATTCGTCGCCGATTACTGACCATTCTAGGTGATTCAACTGAAGCGACTGACCTACCTCTTCCCCTCAGTTGCCTGGTGGCACTTAGGTAGGCCATTGATCGGTGATATTTGAACACCTGCAGTGCCAGATGCATGTAGCGTCATTTTGTTTACTAGGACAGACTCTCGCTCGAACGATGTCTCAGTCGCTGGTACTTCTTATATTCCAGTCGGGCTTGGAGGAGTCATGCGTTATTTGACATTCTCCGGCATACTTTGCCATATCTGAGACTAGCATTAACATACGAGCAGGCAAATACTGCCTTTCACCAATCCATTTTTTAAAGAAAGGCCAATGTTTCTGCTGATCCCTGGAAATCTTTTTGATTCCAGTCATTATACGGCTCTTGGCAAATCATCCCGTTTGCTTATTAGTTACCGTTATGAATGATATGCAACTCCGGAGCATTTCCACCGTAATTGTGCACGATGTTGCTGCTTTCCTAAAGCCGGCTGCTGACCTCAAATGAGAATCCTCGGAGACAGTAGAGCAGACCTGAGTAAACTTTGTGTCTGTCAAGAATGACCAGTCGTAGCTTGAAACTATTGGCCGACTCTCGATCGGGAACCTTTCGCAAACAACACTTCACAG